AAACGCTCCTAGTCTTTAAAAATAGTAAAGGTCTGGGTTGTTGCAATGCCTCAGCGTTGTTTTTTTTAAAATTCCTCCTATCAAAATCTGGCTGCTCGCAAAGTGATATCACCATTTTCTTCATTACAGCAAGTAAACGTAAAGGTGAAAGCATGAAACTGTTGGCAACTTCAAGGGGGTAAAAGACATTCTTTCGAGCTTCCGCTCTGCTGTTGACGCTCCTACGTCTCCATACGACATAAAAAGAGTACGGTGTGATTAATGTGATTACGTGTTCTTTGAAGAAGAACTGTTACTTAAAATAGGCAACTTATAAATATTTTCATAAACGAACTATTGATACTAAGTTTTAAACCTAACTTCGGGTGATTAATGAAACAAAACTTGATTCGTTCACAAACATTCATTTGTATTTACTGCGTTCTGAAAAGCTATTTATTAAGATGAACAAGTTTTATGATTTTCAAACGATTTTTGTAGAACATGGCTTGAAAGCCAACAAAGTTCTGCTTTCGCGCACGTGCAGTATGAGTAGTTGACAGACACTGATTCCGTCAGCTTTCAATTACGATTGGTAACAGTCATTGAGGACCAAAAAGCGATTTTCACTACCATACTACCAGCTACAAAGTCAAATCTGTCGTAGATTGGTTCTAAAAAAGTGCAGGAAAATTTAAAAAAACCGCGGTATATAGAGGGAGTACTAGTTTTGGGGACCAAAAAAATTTGAAGTAATATCGGGACTGAGACACATATTTTCACAGTTACTTTTCACTCAATTATACTTTGTCATGATTAGAGTTTACACATTGACAGTAAAGTGACCCTTTATCAGCCGAATATATTTTCTTTGACACCATAGCCGCCTGTTTGAAGTCAGTCCTTAAACCTATTACAATCGCGTCAAGTTTTCTTGGCTTTCACAGTATGCTGTGTTTACTAATAATGAGTTAACTCCAGTCACGATAGCGCAAAGACCTCGTTGTTTCGATATAAATCTTCAAAACCCATACAACTACTTGTTTTTGACTTACAAGTGTTCAACAATGTGGCCGGTACCGCAGCATATCCGCTACTTTTTGTCTTTAAATTACGGTATTAGTCTAAACACCACCATGTTTATTTGGCCTCATGAACCACACAGGTGAAGTTTAATTGAAATGCAGCACCTACTTTTTTCCGCATTTGACTTCGACTAGTTCAAGGCAGGTTTTGGTCACGTCAAAGGTTCAATTTCAGAATATATTTGAAGCATGATGGTGTGTTAAAGTTCGTTGATCTTCCCCCATCATTAAGAACCTTCGAAGCAGTTCCCCTTACTCAACCATACGCCATGAACCTCCATGTAAATTCCTGAAGTATAATATTGCATAGACAGTTTTAATCAAGAATTAATTTTTTTTTTTCAATTCGGTATTAATTTTTTCTTTTCTGCTGCGAATCTCTAAATTTCAGGAAGACGGAAAGGGAGCTACAAACGCGTTGTTGAACACAACTAAAGGATCTTTCCATGACGCCTCTAGTTCGGCAGTATTGGGCGACTCTTCAGGATGGCAGTCAATGAGTGATGCTGAGCGCGAAATACTTCAGAAAGGTTTGAATACTTTAGCTAAAAACATTCTTAAGTACTATGAAAAGAACAAAAATGGCTGTATTTTCAGAGTTTCGCAAAGCCAATGCGTACAAGACTGCATTATGTCAAGCTTTCAAAGAAAGCGGGTTCTGTAGCTACGGACCTGCCTGCCGTTTTGCGCATGGTGAACAAGAGCTCAGGCTTCCTCCGCAGGTGATTGGTTTTACTCAGTTTAGTCGGTCTTTATGTAAATTTATTTTTTGGCAGCTGTTCATTTTTACACTTTACATCCAGCTAAAGCTTCTATTACAGGTTTCAGTTATGTTGATATTTTTAGACTCATCCAAAATACAAAACTCAACTCTGCAACAAGTTTGCTTTATTTGGACGATGCCCTTACGGACCTCGGTGTCAATTCATTCACCAACGGCCAAATAACCTGTGTTTTCGCCAAGTAAGCTTATAACCAGAAAATTAGTCAAGACTTTCAATTACTCGTATGGGAATTAGTCACATTGTTTTACTCACTGTTTGAGTTTGTTGATGAAGTCCTAACCATTCAAACCATTTTTTTCAGAATCTCGACGATGTTGGTCGTTCTCAGAACTCCGGCAAAGCAGGACATCCATTGCAGATCAGTAGCGGTGAGGGAACTTCAATAAAAAAGTTGGTATTGTACCGCAGCACTTTGTTCATGTGGTGCTAGGGCTTGCATGCTTTAGCCCTTTAATTAGTGAAATCGGTGCTCCACTTGCTGCGTACAAGTTAGTCAAAAGTTATTTTTTTAGTGAACTAAGTGATGCATTTGGCACTTTGTCGTTAGGGTCAGACAAAACAGTTCCTGAAATGGTTGATTTTGCATCCTCATGTTCTGCCGTTCCTCTGACAAATTCGATGGCTTATTTCCATGGTAGACCAGTTAGGAATAAAGTAAGTTTGAAAATTGGTATTGTAATGTTTCCTAATTGGAAATATAATTGGCGACCAAGTAGTGGTTTTTGCTTTGAAATTTAGACTGAAGATCAGGCGTCGAGTACAGACGATAAATTTGACAGGAGGGAGGAGGACAGTTCAAGCGGGATTGACTCTGACGTCAGTAAGTCTCTGTTCCCTCACCAGTTTGAAAGTTGGTATGTTTCTGTATGTTCCGCTAAAAAAAGCTCGTCGTCTGTGTTGAGACAGGACAGTATTCTCTGTTTGGTATCTACGATAATGCAGGTTTAGGAACTTCGAAGCAGAGGGTAGTTTTGCACAATCTTGTTTTCCGCGACTTGGTGGACACTGATTGACTGCTGGCTGAATTAACAAACAGGACTTATCGCTATCTATTGCACATGCTGAATTGGTTAACAATTAGGGTTTTAAAGGGCTGGGTCTTTTCAAGTTTTTGGTTTTTTGTTGTCGCTATTTGCCTTCTTTCTCTTTTGAATGTAATGTGACCAGGAAAATTTGCACTGCTAAATCGTGATTTTGATATAACTCAAATTTTTTTGCGACTTCATTCGGTATGAATATGTAGCTTTAAGGTCTCGTATCTTTACTGTTATTTTTACTATATTTAGCTGTTTTTTTAGTGAAGCATTGTAGGAGGACAAAATTTTGCTCCATTCTTTTGGTTTCTTTTTTTGTCTTCCTAAGTCATTTCTTATTTCTATTTGCCATTATTTCATGCTGTTTTTTTATCTTTCACTTTTGTCTCAAAATATGCTGCGGAAAAAGACTTCCTGAGGCGCAAAATAATTATAAAACAAAACCAGGTGCTTTCTGTGAAAGCAGTACCTTAAACGGTTTAGGGGTTTTGTTTATTTGTCATTATTTGTGCCTTCTTTTTACATAATGTGTAATGTGGTGGGGGAGTCTCCATTAATGACTCACGGTACTGGTCAGGATTCCTTAAAAAGTTAGGCTTGTGTTTGGTATGGTGTGTAGGTTATGTGTGATTATTGTTATTTGTTGTTATTTTTTGTTCTGTGGTTGTTGCTTATTGAAGGATTCCTGAAAGGCGATTTTTTGCTTCAATGTTTTTCATCCTGTTGCTTTTGTCTTCCTAAGATCCTTTTGCTGTTCTGATCGGTATCGTTGTCATGTGGTCGCTTTCTTTGTTTGTCACAATATCTTAAGGAAGGTCAGCCTTGATGGAGGCGGAATAAACAAGAGAAAGCTTCGGTTTTGACTCATTTAGAAGTATGAAGTTATGTAAAGTTTGATGGTATGAGAATACCAAGTTTAATGCTCTTGGCTGTAACAGAGTATAGTGCATGGAGTAAGTACATGGAGTTGGGATTTATCGCGAAACGGTCAAACTTTCAAGTACTATTCAGATTACAGGTGGGGAGAGGTTTCGAGCAGCATGAAGGGGAATTGCAGGATATTTAAACAACTGTTGCTTGCAGTTAAACATCAGTGATATCTGTTGAAGTGGAGGAGAATCAAGTTTACGTAAAACTCAATAAATTAATAGCCGTTTCGTCTACCGAATAATAACACTGTGCACTTCTCTGTTTTCTCCAAGTGATTGCAGCAGTGAATCAGGACTACAAAATCCATGCGATGCATCTCGCAGATGGGTTTGGTTTATGACATTTTGAATATAAGCAGATTTTGTCGTGTAGTGGTTCATCGTCGTCACTGTTGGCGCTGAATTACTGATTATGTTGCAAAACAAAGTGTTCGGAATGTGAGAATTACAAATGACACTTTTGAGTCATATGTTTTTTAATACGTCAAATTCAAATCTAGCAATTATACTATCCACCTAAAGGGTCTTGAATCGTAATCTTTTTTTGAAATTATTTTTTGACACCTGCCTCATTTTAGAGTTCCAATTTTGGTAGGTTTTTTTTTGAGATCTTAAGTATAAACGTACCAGAATAGTGGGAAGTCGGCTAACCCTGTAAAAGAATTAAACAAATCGTTCATTAGTTAGATCCCAAGTCACACTAGGGTATTGGTCCTCTCTTGCCGTCCACGCTGTATGCTTCGGGGAAGGCTTTTTTTCAGTGGTAACAAAAATATTTTCTTTGCAGAAATGTAAATAGTAAAGTTTTGTCGAATTCCCACGTGTTGTTGGAAACTGTTGTTCCGACGTTTAGGTAGGGTAGGGCTTGTTTTAACAGGCACCAAACGTTCGGATTGACTTTCAGACATAAACTCCTCTTTGAGTAGTTCAGTCACTTGGCTCAAACTTCCTAATTTAAATTTTAGTACTTTGTACAGCTAGATGGGTATTTCCAAAAGTTCTTTCAACCATATTTAAATTTGGAGGAGTAGTCTTAGTCAGGTTTAGAAAGTCCACCTATGATTGTACGCATTATAATTGTCCTGATATGCTTTCAATACTTACGGAGTGTTCTGCTTTTCGTATATTTTTCATTTATAATTGCATCTCATGTCTTTACTATTTCCCTCTTTTCTCCTTGTCTATTTTTTTTCTTGCACGTGCTAATTGCTGTCTGTCTCTCACTATTGTCAGACAAATTTGCACTGTTTTTGTCTCATTTTTCACCTTTTTGGTAGTGTAAAGAAGACTAGTTTGCCACTGACTTAGATAAATGCTTAATTAACTTTCAGGTGCAAATTTAGAAAATGGTTCAGCTCATTTTGTCAGACTACGGATTTATTGCAGAGGCTGGCATTATATTATTTTGCTAGTACTGTATGCCTCAATTTTTTTGAAGGCAGTGTGATTTTTTTGATAAAGCAATAAGGCTCACAAGCGTGATATAATTTTGCTAGCTCAATACCATTTGTTCCTGGCACTGAAAATAGTTTAGATTGAAAGAATGCAACAAAGTTGCTGCTTTTCTGCAGTGGCAGAGTGAGAAGCATCTAGTTTTATCAACTATAACGAGTCTGTTTAACCTCTGAAAAATGCTGTCGGCAAGAACATCGCTTTTTCTGTCGTCTGCAAGTTTTAATCAAAGTGCGCAACTGTAAGATACTGTTCTTATTAATACATTCTATACATGTGAAAATTTCAGCTTCATCAACTGTCTGTATCAGGGCTAAATATATTAGAATTTCTAAATTTTCTTTCAGTGGAGACTTATTCAAATTTGATAAAAGACGGTATTTGGGAGATTATAATGGTGCGAGCTTCAGACAGCCGTAAGGGTTCAGTGTGATCTATGCGAAATAAGAACTGTTGACTGAAGGGGAGAGCGGTAAGGTTTTAGTAGTACTGTTGTTAATGGAATAAACTGCTTTGAAAAGGGATTTACTTATGTGTTAGAAAAAAAATCTTCATTTTTTTAAAACAGAAAAATAGACAAATAAACAAATAAATAATTTTTAGATCTGTACTTTTCTGGGAGGTAAACAAAGTTGGCAGTTATTTGAGTTTCAATCAGCGAGATGTTTAACTTTTTTTTTTTGATAGTTAGAAAGTAAACATCTTTTCTCTAGCTATAATACTTTTTAAAATTGAAAACATTTCTTCTTTCAATTGGTTAGATTGTTCGATTTAATAGTTATAGAGGTGTGATGCAGTAAGGAACTATACTTTGTTTGCTATTCTAATCTAGATATCCGAATACTTCAAACAGATTTTCTAACCAAAATTAAACTATTATAGTTAATTACCTTTATATAATAAAACCAGTAAAACAGTAAAGCATATAATTGTTTTAAGTGCGTTAATCTGAGCCTCAATTATCAACGTTTCTAAAGACTGGTTTATAGACGTATTCTTTTTAAATTGGCTTGCAAATACGTTACTGTGAACCTTTGTTTCTTTCAGGACAGTGTTTTTGTACAGAAGTCGATTATTTCAACAAATATTGATTCAAAATTTTCATCAATATATCTCTCATTTTTAATCAGTGATTTTTAGGTACAAATGCGTAGCTATTCTTAGGTATATCCACTTTGTTGCTGCCAAGAAACTTTTATAATTTAAATGATTTAAATAAGAAATTTGACGAGCTTGTCAAAATTACAACGATGGTTATTGATTGCCATTTTGACAGTCTCATGCTTAATTTTTGATTTTAACAAATCTATATAATTTAATTTAATGACTGTCAAAGACTATGTTGTTTTTCAAAGAAAATTTTTTATCAAGCTGCTCAAGAACTTTTTAGTGCTGCAATTTGCACTGTATTAAATAAAAGTTTGCAAAAAATTTTAAGCTGTTATTTTTTTGATGAAAACAAAAAAAGAGCGAAAACTAGACTAGGTCTTGCTATAGTCCACTTCAGTTGCTTAGGGAGCCTTATGTACCGCAATCCTACTGTAATGCGGCATCGACCAAACAGAGTATACTATAGTTGAAAAGAAATTCACTACGAAGAAAATTAAATTTTGCAAAAGTTTGCCACGGAAAATCAAGTGCCCACTTATTTTTACTTCTATGTTTATGTTTATATTCTTTTTTATTTTTGCTTTTATTTTTTTCTATATTTTTTGTTGTTTTTATGCACAGTTATCTTTTTAGTTGTTTTAGCGGACAAAATCGCTTTTTGCTAGTTTTTAAAGTACTCGTAACAAGCATCTATTTAAAGCCTTTATTAACTGTAGATACAGGTGTGTGAAAACATTGCATATCACCTGTAAATAGTCTTGGCTTTATTACTTTGTTACATTTTCTAAACTGTTTTAAATGAATCAGACGGTAATTTTTAAGAACTGGCGAAAAAAAAAGAAGCAAAAAATTTCTAAAAACTGGTATTTTTACAAAGAAAATTCTCAACTGTATTAGTCAAAAAA